CATGGCCGCTTCTCCTTTCAGGTCGCGGAGGCAGACGCGTCAGACAGAGCTTCCAACGTTCCCGATCCTGCCCCACAGTCTGAACTTCGGCAGAGGACAACTGGAGTCTGGAACAGACTACTTCCATAAATTTGCACCAGGTTAATCTTATTTTGGCCGTTCATGGGCCTTCTGCCGGTCGGTTTGGCAATAAGCAGTTGCTTAGCCTTCCTTTTACGAGTTAGACTTTAATATTTTATTATTAATGCAAAGTAATTTGATGCAATATGATAGAATGGAGATCAACTGAAATGAATCTTTAATTCGGCCGTTTGATGTTCCATATGAAATTATGAAGCTATTCTGAACCTGTTTCCTCTTTTCTTGTGTACTTTACAGCAGCACACCCGGCCATTAAAAATTGTTAAAGCTTATATGTACAAATGCACAGCGTGTTCGTGTTTAGCAGTAAGCAAAGCGAGATGGAGGAACATGGACAAATGCACCGCTTTTGTCATTTTTCAGCAGTAATTTTCATAACCACGAGTCTATGATTGCTCTGTCGGTTTCCGACTGCCACGTTATTCAGGCCATCGCCATTTTCGTGTGTGGATATCAAAAGCCAAAAAATAGCTAAAATTTAATTTTATCGATCACATCCGGCTTGAGTAAACATTCGGATACATTTTTTGCTTGTGATAAAAAAACATCCAACGTGCCATCGTGATGCAGACGGTAAAAGCGCCGTCCGTGTGACCGGGCGCCAGCAAGTAACACAGACGGGTCATGAAGCACGGACAAACTTGGTTCTGGCCTGCTTGCTAAAAAGTAGTCACGAAATCGACCGCCGACAACTGTATCGATTACTTTGGTAAATTAATGGAAAAAAGCCAGTCCTTCCTCAGTCCTTGTTTCGTTGCAGCACGAGAAGCAGAAAAAATTTCAATCAATCATTCACTCGCTTTCTCAACCGCAGGTCGAGGAAAGCGTCGTGTAACACTGGCCTCGGCTTCGTCACCATGGGGTATCGATCGAACAAAAATCTCCTCGCTAACTGAATGTTCGCAGTTCCTCGTTTTTCGGTTTGTTTGGTTTATTAACTGCTGACCAGCTGACCTGCCTTTGAATCGTTTGCGCGCGCAATCAAAAATTTCGAAACTTTACTGCTCGGACGAGGTAACGAACGAATTTTGCTTTGCATCGCCGACAAATGAGAAATCGATACAAATTAAATAACAAATAAATATAAGTGAAACGAATAGAGCAAACAGAGTCATACGCAAAATTACGAACAACGCGACAGTCGACCGAACGCATGTCAATCATATTAATTACACAATACATAATAATCACAAATAATAATAATCGATAACCACACTAATTATTATATCAATCACATGAAACACATGGGACAACACGCAATGATGTAACACAAAACAGAACGAAACGAAACGTCTGTACTTTACTTTGTAGTAGAATGTAGTATTCTTTTATTCACGAATGATCCACAGTCGAACTCGAAGCTCGAACCAACAACTGAACTGCCAAACGCGCGTTCCAATTCTGCGGCTTCTCAAATTGTCGGTGACAACAATGAATCGGTGGTTTGAGTCTGGATACTGGAAATGGTGTACCTCGGCTACGAACAGTTACCGCTGTTCCGCGTTTAGATTCACACTCCGAACGAGGCATGATGATTACTTCAGTTTTCTCAAAAAAGGCACGGAAACTTTGTAACCGCTGAGGTGTCAGCCAGAATACGGTTCGATGAGGGAGGGGGGACAGATGTGGCTTATTCCGTTTTACGAGATTTGTGATGGAGTAGCAGGAAACCGGCGTTACGATGCCATCAGCCTTTGCTGTCAAAATTTCTTATTATTCTGGAGACAACTCTTACAGTTATGTGGCCACCATAGCCATAACCGATTGCTTCGCGCTTCTCACATGATGGCAATCATTTACTTACCTTGAGTGGAGGAATGTCGCCGGACCCGGTCATCCGACTGCAGTGTCGAAATTTCACCAAACGAACTATCCTCAAGTTTGCCATCGAAAGATTCGTAGCAGTAAACGTTCCTCGCCGCGACACTGATGCAGAGAGATTGAACGGATAAAGGCAGAAACGCTTGTACCCAACGGTGCAAAGCGGCTGTCGCTGGGTCGTCTGCCCTGCGTGACTTGGCATCACCCTGTTTGACAAGTCGAGAGAAAAATTTCAGGCTACCTCGGACTCGTGTTGTATACCGGAGCGTGACCACTCCTTACTTGATTGTACCCGCTGATCTTCGCTTTTGGTTGTAAACAGAGCCTCTAGTGATTATTCCGTCAGCGCTCTTGTCCATATGGCAAAACCGGTCTCGTTGCAGCACGGCGAAGATAGCGAATGGCGACCACTGTTCCTTTTACGATGCACAACAACGATGTGCCTTTCTAAGTAAGTAAGTCAGAGAGTAAGAAAGAAATCAGTCAATAATTGCACAAACAGTACGTTGGTATGTGAGTAAATAGCACGTAAGTGAATAAATATATAGGGAAGTTGGCACTCAAATTACTCAGTGAGCAAGAAGTAAGTCAGTAAGCATGTAATTAAAGTATTCGGTGTGCGAAGAGGTTTCAAGCGAAACAAGGCACCGGTTTGAACTCAAATTTCATACCTAATTTACTGAACTAAATACATTTTCCTGTATGTCTTCAACAGTAGTCAAAACAAACTAAAATGATTGACAACTGCGCGACTACTCTCCAAAAGTGGATCGATGCAAAATCCCGCATCTCATGTTGGTAAACTGTCATTCCGTATTAATCCTCTAGTCAGAACTAGCCCTATAAGAACCAGGTTCGTTTGCTTTGGTTCAGATGGCCTAGCTACTGGAGCGTTAATGGAGCAGTAGCGGTGGCCAGGCTGAATTAATAGCATTCGTTTCTTTTTGTCCAACCATTCTGTTGCTGATTTGTTTTGCCATTATGGACTCTAATATTTATTATTTTCGCCAATTTCTCTCCTTGAATTATCTTGTCGGATTGTCAATGGATGACATGGCTCTTTACCATATGACTCAACTGCGTTCTGCCACTGCTGTACTTTTACCGTCTACTCTGCTTATGCCGGCGACATGCTTTCGTATTCAGTTTCTGAGTTTTCCTTCACTTTCTCAAATGTTGGCATCGCCACGCCAAATTAAATGCAAAGGAGGTGATACACTCTCTCGTAGTTATTTTTTTTGTGGTAGATATAGAAAAGACTCCATAGTTTTCGCGGAGAACGACATACTGCGCATACGCCGGTGTTTGTTCATAAGTCGCTATATGCTTTCACTTAAATTTCTTTGGTACGGAATGACAAATGGAGGAATTCAATTAAAGTTGTTTTGGGGATAAGCTGTTAGGTCACAACTGATACCGTTTACCTTCCGGTTTGTTTTTCGAAACTGCTTAAGGAATAAAGGTTCGGAACAGTCGTCTTTTCCCAACTCGTTGAACAATTTGCTACGCCCTTGCAAAATGGTGCGGAAAGCAAGTATTCGCAAATTTCTTAAGTACAGGATTTGTAAGTTATTCTTAAGTCCAACTTTCACCGATGTCCGTGTGTGGATCAATAGTTAATCTATCTTTCGGTGCGAGTGGGCTTCTTGTACAAGATCGTTCTTCTGGTATCTCCTTCCTAATTCACTGAGAGGTATAGAAACGAATGCCTTCCATTTTCTCTGAGTCCCAATCTTCTCGAGGATGCTGCACACGTGTTCCCGGAAGAAGTTGGGATGGTTGTGTCAAAGCTGTCAAATTACCCATGTGTCGTTCACGTACATATACCATCAGTTTGGGCGAAGCGCCGCCATTCCCAGTACTATTTTCTTCGAATGGTTCCATGCATATTTCAGCAATGATCGGAGACGTTGGAGATCCAATTGTATATCCGGTTTGATAATTGTACTGTCTATTAAGTGCCAAACATTTTGATGAATTTAGGCTTATGCGAGTGTCTTCCAGTTTGTCGTATCTTTATCGTCCGCCTGGTAAAGAGAATTCATCCCCAATTGTTAGCTGATGTTCCATGATCATCGTCCTGTCCATAGTCCGGATGTTAACGAAGGAGATGATATCAAAGAATACCATAAAGCTTGTTGGTTCTCTTTGCG